TCATTTCTCGGAGGCAAAATGAGCAAGAACGCTCATTTGTACATCATTCTAGAGAGAAATAAATGGCCTTTTTAGAAAGTGAACCATCGATAAGGGAATGTTGGCAGTTTTCTCAAAAAATGCTTGAATTCAAGAAGTTTTAGATTTGCGTGGTTATTTTTGAGTTGCAAAACCCACTTGAACATGACGCTGCTTTTTTCGAAGTTTCTCAAGAACCATTTGAGCCAGAGAATTCGTTTTGGCATCGTTGGATAGAGAACTGAATGGGGGGGTCATGTCCCCTATGACCCCCCCTTCCCTGAATCCGCCCTTGATGGATCTTTAAAGTGACTTAACACCAATGGATTTATTTTGGTAGCAAACTGATGAAATTCAAAAGAAACTACTTAAAGTGACCTTTTCCACTCCAAGAATCCAAAGTAAATCATAGTTGTTCAAGCAATATCCACCATACACTCAAGTTTGAAAAAATGAAATAAGTTCTCTAGAAAGTATCTTTGTTGCCTTCAATGGAAATTTGCAACCATTAGCAATTTTTTCTTCTTCACAATATTTTCTGGGGCCAAATCCCACGTTCATTTCAACCTGCTTTCTTCTTCCCTATATTATTTTATTTGCCCGACACTAATACAGCCTACAATAAAACCATTAGGGGCCCAATTTAAAGCAGTACCATGTTTATTATGGGTGCCCCCACAGAAGATACCGTGGCACCTTGGCGGTACCCGATGGTGAGTCAGTGCTTATCGTCTGTCGTGTCCGCGCGTCTTGGCTTATTCTTGTGGTACTTCTTGGTATCGCTCAATTTACACGGTACCCGGCGCGAGAAGTGCGATAATGTGATCGATGTGCTCCGAATTAACAAGCTTGTAATCGATTAGCATCTTGCTTCATATCGATTTTACATGTCAGCTGCAGCGTGTCACAATTTCAGCAAAAGTAGCATGAATATTTCAGGGCAAATTTGGAATTCAGTATTGCACCAGTTTTACGTACACTTGACGAAATGTTTAAATTTTAGCGCCAGATGGTTTGTTCATGGCGTGTTCTTTGTTTTATTTAAAAATACAGGATTTAACTATTTGCTTAAGGAATTCCCAAACTCAAAGTACTAGAGGTACGCGATTAAAAAGTAATTAAGTTTCACTTAATATTTAGAAAAATTCAAACCACGATAAAAAAAATGGTATGTAAATTCTTTAATATAATATTCATAAATGAAGTTCAGCTTCGGCCGCTAAAGCTTCAATCTAATGCTGCAACATGATGGTTTTTAAAAATATTTTTCTAGATGACTACCTTTCTCACTATCTAAACTATTATCTATTCAAACATGTTTTTCTAAATCTTATAAATTAACTTTGAAACCCGTTTTTGATTAAAACCTTGAAAATTTTAATTTAGTTAACAGATAAAAATATAGCAAATTTATAATCAAACAATAAATAACCTTGATAGAAATATATGAGGGCAGCAAATTAATATTTTAAATTAATTGTTTGATTTCTTATACTTAAATCGAACCTTCCGTTTCCCTTTGTATTTTTTAAATAAATTTTGTTTTGTCGTAATGTTCATATAGGAATATGCGAATTTAATCGCTTGCTCGATTTTCATGTAGGTACATTCGTGATTTTTATAAAATATAAATTTTATCTAACAGCCCGATTGAAGGAAGTGTGAACTTCTTCCAGTTTGTGCATTATCATATTAACATTT